ACGCAACATCACTTAATCACACTACAAAAAATATAAGTTGGCAATAACAAATAAACCACGGGTATGTAAAATTAAAACAATAACAAAAATATTTCGCATATTAGCGCTGAACAAGCAGGAAAAATAGCGAATACTTTTATAATTGATTTTACGCTATGCTTTATTTACCATTGCTGCGCCTTCTCTGTAATCATGGAAAAGGAATTTTTCAAATGTAACGTTGATTTTAATTGAGATTAGGCTGAGCATTTTCAAATATTTGATGATTTTAGAATCAAATCAAATATTTTTTCGAATCGAATCACGAATACTTGGGAGGTATAAAACTGAGTGTAACTTTCTAATTGTATTAGGTCCTCCAGACACATAAATTACTGAAAACATAGAATACATCACTCAGGTAGATTGCAGAGCGTTCACACACAATGAAAAAAAAAGTTTTTATCATTACCTCACTACAGAAAAGAGTAATATGTCAGAATTGCGTTGAAATAAAAAAAAAAAATTGAGAAATTCATCTCGACCATAGGCGGAAAGAAAAAAAAAACAAGATCTCGGCTATTCGAAATTTTGCTTTGAACCGATACGAATGACTATTCGATTGAAAATGCCCATCCCTAGTTGAGATATCTTCATTCTAAAATTGCTGCGCCACGGTAGATTATCACATCGTCGGAAACACCCTAGCACGATGTAATCAATTATGCAAGATGGATCTAGTTTTCGCAAAACTTGATTTATTGGAAAAATATCGAAAGGTTTGGGATATTTTAAAGCCAACTTTTTGCAGTATATGAAATATTGTAATATTGAACAAGTTACGTCTACTTTCAAAATACATGTAAGTAATTGTAATCCGGTGTTTTATTATTGTAGAAATTGTAAACTAAATTGTTAAACTTTCGATTAAAATCTGAAATTGCCTCACGACTTTACCACAAGCACGTATTCGAAAACCAAAGAGATGGCACGATAATCAGTTAAATTCAATATCAGTTAAAAAAGAACAATCAGTTGAATAGTTCGCTAGATTTTCGAAGTTCTAAAGAAAGAAACCGTTTAGAGTGATTTATTAATTGCTCAAAAGTTTTATCATGTGAGTAATACTGGAAATAATTGAATTTTAGTTGACAAGTTCTGAAACAAAAATCAAAGGTAAAGGTATAAGTTGATCTGGAAGGTAAAACAGACTATAAATACAGGCAATATTACACTTCAATATGATATTAAAATTCGACAAATTCGAAACCAAGAAATCATTTTGTACTCCAGTGCAATATTATGCGAAGCCAGCGGCAATGGATCCGTCTAATGTTATAAAAAGTTATCTCCCTTTAATTTGATTTCTGCGGGACTAACTAATTCTATACTTTTGTGCCGATGGATCTGTATGCATATAATACAAGGATGCTATAGCAGGAGTAAGATAACAAATCTTGTGATTCAAGTGTCTTGCTGCACACTAATACAAATATATTTTGCGACGTTTCGTTGGACCAATGCATGAAGTAGTCGAACTTTGTATATCTCAGGAAGTCTGACAGTGGTCAGACGAAACGTTACAGAAATATATTTGTATTGTGGTGCTCCAAGTCTCTTGAATCACTTAGAATAGTTATCTTTAAAAATGTGCTTTACACAAAAGATATGCATGTTTCCAAAATTCCGCAACTTGAAATTGCCTGTCATGACTGTGAAAACATTTTTTTTTATCTAACTTCTAATAAATTTGCCAGTAATCACTCATTTACCAAGTAAGTACTGAGTATATGGATCTCTTATCAACAATCCAAGATTCGAATCGCAAGGTCCTTCAACTATAAAATATTATCCCTCCGAGGATATACCATGTAATATTTCAACTTGGCAAAGCTTAGTTGAGGATATTTTATCGTTTATGGTAATCTAATGGCGTATATTGAAGGATTCGCACGATATTGTGTGTTTAATAAACATAATTTTATAATTTCGTGAAGTTGTTGTGACGATGTTTACAATCATGTAAGCATGTTTTTCATTTAGTTTTAAAGAAGGAAGATCAAAGTATTAAACTTGTTATGTTAGTGGTCTTTATACGTATATTTATTCTATGATTTATTAGTACTGATTAAAAATGAGCCTAAAAGTTATTCGTTTGATAGGTTTAATCGCATCGGTACATTGTTGAAAAATTTACTATTCAAACATTAATTTTTTATTTGAAAATGTACTTTCATCATTGTTTTGATTGTTATTTATTATATTGTGGTGGGATGTTTTTTGTCAAAGAGTATTCATTCAAAGCCAGTAATTTTACAATTTTTGTACAGAAAATAGATTGTAGATGATATTTTACTCGCGTTAAGTGATTGTAAAAAAATAATGTATTTAGCGAAACTTCATTTTTCTAACCCGTTCTGCTGACTTGTTTCTAATCTTATGTCATCGAATATTGTTTCCGTCAGTAAAAATTACTAGAAAATTAAAACAGTTTTTAAATATGAGTGCGCGACAAAACTCTTAACACTTTTAATTTACTATTTGTTATATCAGTTGTTTAAATTATATTACCAGATCTAACTTGTTGTCAGAGAACAATCTTTAAAAATAGGAAAATTAATAATTGAGTTTAAATTGTGTAAATGCAAGATATAAAATGATATAACCGTAGCGATATGATTGAAGTTATTGTTAGATGTGTTATTGTGATAATTATTGTTAATGTGTTAGAATATGTGTAAAGAGATTCGCTGAATTTATTGCAAATATTATATTTCAAGGGTGGTAATTTGAATATAATTATAGTAGGTTAAATGAAATTTTACAAATTCAGTGAACTCACTCATTAAAGGAAATGGCACACTCTAATAGCAATTTATCAAAATACAGTAATATCCATCGCACACGTTGGTTTGGTTGGTTTAATGAGAACTATTTTGATTGTATACGTCAATAGAAAATCACAACATAATTTTCACTCGTATATTAGAAAGACAATAAAGCATTTTATTAATTTACACGTAATTCTTCATAGTCACAGCGATATTTAAGTATAATAGGCGGGTTACATCCCATGCGCTAATTGCCCGGCTTTTCGTTCGAGGATCGTAAGTATCTCTGCCGAATGTATCCGACGCCAAATTAATTCTTTTTTAACCGAATACGGTAATTAAATACGTTCAACACAACTACCGTTCACGCCGATTGAAATTGTTATTGAAAAACAAACACACATTAGAGCGAAAAACAATCGAGACAAAAATAATCGCTCCATACTAATTGATCGCTATCCAAGATAAAATGTAAACGATAAAAATCTCGGTCACGCCAATACCAATTTATAAATATTCAGTAAAGTATAAACAAAATAAATTTTAATTCTTTACTTTACCGATTATTGTGTATCTTTAATATTTGGTAAGATATTAATAAATATACAAACGCTGATAAATTACTGATTGATTAGTTTTTATTCCATATAATTAATATCGCCACAAGAGCTGCAGCAGCTTCATTATTTCTCGGCTAAAGGTTTCTAGCATCATCAGTGTGACATTTTCATTCATATATTTAAAAAAAAAAATACTGTTCTCATGTGGTAACTTCATAACCCATAAATGAAATCAATAAAACGTAAATTTATGAGAACTTCACAACACTTCCTAATCTACAATAAAGTCCATTTCTCCGAATTAATTATGGTTAAAATAATCTGAATGTTTTTCTCTCATGCAAATCGATTTCAAACAAACGCTCATTAACCGTTCATTTGTAATCTCAACATAATTACGGAGTATTTGCTTAATAACACACCAAAGAAAAATACCGCATCTTTGATTTTTTAGAAATCTTTCGCGCAACAATGCCAATATGCTGAAACGATCAAAAACTTTCCAAAAAATATGACCAATGGTATAGAAGCAGTTACGTGGCCCGACATCATTTAGACTTCAGAGTACTACTTGTGTTGAATCTGTGAAGTCACGCGGTATAACTTCCGTATTCCACTAAAAAATTTTCTCGTCTCATTTGCCTGAGCTCTTCTTAGAAGGATAGTAGTTTTAGGTAAAAAAAAAAGTAAAGTTGCATCAACCAAGTTATTTGTGGTATAAAAAAATAACAAAACTCATAGCTGGCGAAATTAATAAAGATTTAGAGACAGTTAGACGTCCTATTGCCGCGGGTGGTCTTAGAGAAACAGAGTAAGATTGAAGTATAAATTATATTAGCAAGAGACAAACTTGATGTTGCAGACTATAAAAACGAGTCTGAACACAAATGGCACTACAAGTAGAAGTAATCTATTTTTTCGTTGAATTGCAATTCAAATATAACAAATATATGTTGAATCTAATTCAGTTACTACTTCATAATTACACTGAAACTTCGAGCTGAAATATCAATTGTTTTTATGTTAAACGTTATTGCTTCATCTTCATGTCAAGATGAAACAGTGTTTCACTGCTTTACCAAGCCCGGTTGCAAGATTGCTCAATGTGATCCGGTTGCTGAAGGATTAGACAGACCAGGCTTCAATATCGATGAACATCTGCATGACAGAAAGTTTCCGATTACATGCGAATCGAAGAGCACGGACAATCTGTCTGGTATAGTATCCAGGAACATATTAGGCAAGTCCTTTTTCACTATCATGAATACTTTGGAAAAACTTTTCTCACTATTTAGCATAAATTGAAGATTTTACCCCCATACATAAAACCCTTAATTAAAGATGCGCCTTTTATTGTACGATTTGGCTCATTTTCCAATGCAACTTTTTTTCATTGCAAATGCAATTTCTGCCGTTTGCTAAATTTGTGACAATTTTCATCATTTTAACTTAGCCTTCCTATCAGTAGCTCGTTTGAGATAGCATTCAATTTTGAACCCGGACCAATAAATAATTCCTGTCTTAGAATTCTGTCCTCAATTTATTTGCGATTTTGAATTGCCTGAAACTTGTTTAATCATATCAATAGAGCGGTTGTATGAGGAAACTTATATTTTTATTCAGATATTGGACTTATCAGATCAGAATTGAAAGAATTGGAAGGAAAAATCGACAAAAACCATGGAAAATCTGGAGAAAAAAGATTCGGGTTAGATAAAACAAATTTCTTCTTTGTTATTTTTACTCGCTTCAGTTCAGAAATATCCCAATCTAACAGTGAATTGAGTATAACATTGGTATTTGAATGTCATTATCATCTGTTTCTTATGGATAGTTACTGTAATTTTTGTTTTGGTTTTTAACTTTTGGTAAAAAATTAATACAAACCCAATGTTTTTGGCAGAAAATTGTGAGACGTGCGTCAAGAACAAGAAACTATCTTCCGAATACATCGATCTTCGTGACAAGGTTATTCTGCAATCTAAACAAATTACTGATTTAATGATCAACTATGCAATTCGATCTGTTGCAATGAAACAACTTGAGAAGAGAGCTGCTCGACAATCTGTCGTTATCAAAGAATTGAAGACAGGTTGAGCTGGAGGGAAGTTGTTTTATATAGAAAAAATATCATAAAATAAGAGTGAAAGCGTTAAATAATCATCTAAGAATTTTGTGATGGAAGTAAATCATGAATATTTCATTCTTCAGAGACATTCAATTCCAATAATATATCTATTCACGGTGTCTGTCCCAACAATCACGTGATAACTCTCTTGTCTAGTGACACATTCGTGTTAGCATTTCTTGTCACCTTAAAAATTTCATTTATCAGAGTCAGAATTTGAATATCATTAGACTCGTTATTTTATTGATTTGTCTCACTGACTTACTAATTAAATCAATATTCAATCCAATGATTTTATTTTATCAGATTTGGTTAAAGTTCAAGAAATGAATAATAAGTTGATGGAAGACAACAATAAGATGAACAAAGGTGAAATAATATATTAATTTACCGGAATAATTTATCAGAGGACGAATATGTTGTTTGTTGAAAAGATTGAAGATGAGGAACTATTAAAATTAAAAATACATATTGAGCTTGGACCTGGACCTCTACACTGTAAAGTGCGTGTTATAAAGTATAATATTTAGAGCTTATTTTGAATAAAATGTGAAAGCGAAAATGATCATTGTCATTTTTAAAATTTGAAATAGAAAAGTTAACATAATATTTCTTTCCAAAGTAACAATAGATGATGCAATAGAACTTTTTTAATATTGTATTTAGCGATATCTCGAATTGAACAAAAACTTGCTGAAGAGAAGTCTTCACAGCGTCAAATTACCGAACCAATAACAACGATTCAAACAACAGTAAAACCAACTTCTCTTTCAGGTAAATTTTACTTGAATTACTTTGTTTTGTAGGTTCTGAATATCTAGAGCAGGGGTTCTCAACCTGGGGTTCGAGAACCCCCAAGGGTTCACGAGAAGATTTCCTGGGGTACTTTATCTAAAGTTGAGTTTTTGTGTGTTGCTGTTTTTTTATATCCTTCATTACTACCAGAGGAAAATGCGTGTCGATTGAAACTAGATGCCAATGGACCTTTTCCCGACCTTTGACCCCTGGAAAATTCTTTCTATACTTTACCATTGCAAAATTTTCGGGGCATATTTTAAGAGTGGTTTGGCGAGTTGGCGCCTGTAAAATGGGGTATGTGTTTCAAACCATCATTATGATTCATCGCATGCAACAATCTGTTTTTAAAAGTACCGGTAAAGAATTTTATCCCAGTCTATCGCAGCTATTTCTACACTATTTTTTTATTACTGCAATTAAACTCCTAAGAAGACAGAGTGATCAATAAATTATCTGATTTATATTTAAATTTCCGAAACACAACTGAAAACTAACGACTAGAGTTCGAAAACGCGAAAACGAGGTAATGTTCATGGCCACGCGTGAAAATCTGTCTGAGTGAGAAAAGTGTCTGAGCGGATACGAAAAGGGAGCATTGTTACGTCACTTTTTGCATCTTGCTGATTTGACAATTTCATGAAGTAAACACTAAACAAGGAAGTCGATGCTCGGGGAGAGGTCCATTGAAACGCAAATTTTCCCTGATGTTGTGATTGTGACGCAACAATGTGGAATTCACGGCTTTGCAGGCAAACTGTGAAATCTCAAAAAACAGCGTGCTGCGAGCATTGGAGAAAGTGATTAAGCTTAATAAAACTTGTGAGAGATTTTAAGAATTCATTAGTTAGGCGGAGGAAAGGATCAATAATATCAACACAAAGATTTAATTTAGTTACATCTGGCCAATAAATTGTTGTTTCAACAAATCCTTAGCCAATTCATCACAATTTGTTCGGTGTCTGATTACCGGGGGTTCGCGTTGATTCGTGACTCTGGGGGTTCTTGAAAAAAAAAGTTTGAGAACCCCTGATCTAGAGTATACTTAGTGTGAGAGTGATTGGTTAAAGTGAAAATAGATAGTTTTGCATTGAATCAAGCCGGTTTGCAATTGTTGAGTGTTTAGGAAATTCTTCTAATCTTTAAAATAGGAAAGACATGGGTAATACAAGTTAGTCTCTACAGCATACCCAACTAAACAAGTTAAAACTGCTATTTTATTTCGCCTGTTAGAAGGTATCTATTAGTTTTTGCATAAAACAAATATTTATTGAAATTTATTGCATAATACGACATTATTTTCAAAATTAACAGTGTCCAATTACAGAAATCTGCAAATTGAAGATTGGGAATATCTGCTACTTTGCTGTTGTAAATATACTGCAAAATGTCAGCTACAATGAAGCCATTATTATTTGTAAAAGAGACAACGCAGATATTGGTCTGTTTCGAGATGAAAAATCTTACAATGTCGTTGTAAATTACCTGATGAATACTCTTGGAGAACGAATTTTGGTATCAGTATGGACAGGAATTCACATCGATTCAATGGTTAGTGTCTGATGGCTTGTTTTATGTAAACACGCTCAGAAAAACATTAGGATCTGAAGTTAATACATTTCGTCCCTTAGTAAAGTAAATGTCGCATAGTGATGAGCCACCTTGGAAATATTCTGTTACTACAAGATCGTTGCAACTTAGTAAACCACTATTATGGACAGACGTGGTCGGACAGAAATTCAGAAATAAAACTATGTCGATGATGAAATTTTAATGATCATTATGGTCAATTTTAATTCATTAGACATAGAGAGACAATATGAAAATGTCTTATTTTCCAAAACAGATATGCTTGCTAAGCGAACTTCACCTCCGGAAACATCCCCGGGTTGTAAAGCCACTCAGTGAGTTCGCTAGTTTTGGTAACAAAGGTGAAGAATTTGTTACACTACATTTGGACACAGATAAAACATACAGTAGCAAAATAGGAAAAATTATATCAGCGGAGTAGGTCCGTGGTGATGTAATTAATGGTAATCGGAGTAAACTGAAAATAATAGTTATCGAAGTGAAAAAACATATCATGGTATTTTACGAACCATGAGACGCAATTTAAATATTTTTATTTTATTTTTTGGATACCTTATATGCTCGTTTTACCGCCCGATCTTGATTAAGGGCCCGATTAAATAGCCGCCCGTGTGAACAGAATATAAAAATAAAAGGGCCGGTGCTTGAATACCCGCCCGATGTAAAAGCTGATTTTTCAGTGGTAGAGAACAATAGGAAATGAGAAACGCTTCTGTCAGAACGCTGTTGAATTTTAAGCACCGGTAGATAACACTCACGTCTTAGGCGTCCAAGTACATAACAGATAGCATTGATTACGTAACACTATGGTTCTCAAATGGGGGCGTTGCGAACGCCCCAAGTGGCTCCATTTCAATATTGAAGGTCTTCGCAAACTTTTCTTCAATTTGCGGATTTGTTCGCTGCGGTGCGTAGCAAAAGCAAAAATTTACGGTTATTCTCGTTGAATCATACTTGAAAACTGGAATACCAATATATAAATTTTGGTAACGACGGAAATAACAAGCGCCCGTGCTTGAATACAGGGCCGGTTTGAAATAAGGGCCCGGTTAGTGAGGTAAGTTGGAAAAATATATGGTCCCTGGGCTAAAAAACGAGCAAATACGGTAAATCAACTTTGGCGCCCCAATAAACCCGGTGCGATTTATGGTTTGTAGGACACTATCGCAATACTTAAGTTCGATTATGTCACGTGAGCATTTTAATCGAATGAACAGAATATGGAACAGAATGAACAATATTCAGCCTTGTCCCCGTGTTTAAAATATTCCCTTGTGGGTGTACAAAGTGGCAACCGAATACTCATTTATACGGCCGAGTGTCGGAATTAGTCTATATTGCATGCACAATTTTGAACCTGGTGATAACTTAATGTTCATTAAAAGATGGATCAATGCCGAACCAACAGCTGGAATTAAATGATTTACCGATCAATATTAATATGGGTTTTCTTAAAAAAAAACAGGCTTGCAATCGGTCTCACATGAATTCTCAATATAAATCATGATCGGCGAAGCAATGATCTTTATTTTCTTAAAAGAAAAATCGATTTCGCTTAATAATATCATTTTTTATTCTATTTTTTTCAGACTCATGATGTTACACCTGTAGAGTCCTTTGTTAAATGGCTTCCAGGTATTCCATTCACAGGAATTCCTTCTAAAGACCTCATAAATGTTTACTTCGATGTTCATACCAACCCAAATAAGCGTCATCACAGGATGATAAAAGCTCCTCCTACCTGGAAGCATCATAGAGGTATTTGTGAGATCCAGATCTAATGAAACGTCTGCCTTGTATTTTATTCCTCTGGATCAATCATCAGTAAAATACGAATCATTAAACTCTAGTATAAAAAGTATACGATTGCAATTTCGATTAATGACAGCGAAAATTGATGAAATTCAATTTCTGTGTTGTTTTCAATATAATGAGAATAAATGTCGCATCAATAATCAGTTAAATATAATTGATACAGAAAATTCATGTTTTTTCTCTACTTCGGATCAGTATGTATCAGTTGCACAAGTATGCTTGAACAAAATAGTATTAAAAAAAGGGATGAATAAATAAAAATAGCAAAATTTCTTTCCACGAAATAGCAAGTATATTTGTAAGCTATTGTTAGATCAGAGTCTAAAATCTTCAGAAATAACAATATATAATGACACGAATGATGCTATTCTATTCTAAATTAAATCTGTTTCGATTAGGTGAGTTTTGGTTGAGGTTTCATGAACTTCATGTGTCAGATTGTTTTATCCCACTACAGCCCAAAGAACATTTTGAAAAAAAGTAATAGCATTTTAGCGCAAATACAATCTTTTTTACCACTGAAAATTGGTTGGTCCAGTAAGCAATGAAAAAGCAATTTTTTTTTCTCGTAAGATATTTCTACTATCCGATTCGGGTCTATTATTTTAAAATCCCGGGTTTTGGTTTCGCTATTTCAAGTATTTTCATCGCAGTAGATCCAGTTGTTTAAAATGTCAAGCGGCCGAAAATATGATGAATAGCTCACGCAAGACTATCTGACCTGTTAACAAGTCAATGTTGTGCTTCAAGAAAGACTGTTTTCACCGAATCACGGTTACCGAGAACACGCTTGACAAGCTTAGATTAGCTGAGACGATATCGCACTGGGGTTTACTAAAGAAAAAATTCAAAGGATCTGGTTCATTGGTCTGGTGCGCTTCCCGTTCCCATTGTGTGTTCGAGAGATAATTTCTAGTTTTAGATAAAAATATTCATTCTCTAATTTTCTGATCAATACAATTTGCTACGCGATACAAGATTAATTCCTGATAAGATAGATAATATTGGGATATATTGATCTTGCATCGCACCGCATGGCTTTTCACTTATAAGCAAATATTACTATAATTCTCTAGACGCATAAAGTCCTACCAGATGATTGTCTCGTGTGTAGTAACTTCTTGTATCATAGCAAGTTTAGAATATTTATTTTATCAGTTTGGCAGATGACACATGCGCCCGGAACAAATTATTATTTGATATAATTTGAAAATTATTAGTTTGATTCCGGGAGCTAAACAACGTCGCACTCGGTAGGAACTTGCACAAGAGAGAAACAAAATTTAAATCAGATTATTGTTTTATCCTCATTGCTTCATTGGGTATTGCTACGCCAAAATCGCACTCGCATTTATAGAGCATGAATACTTAATAGTGACGCTTGGCTCCGTTAGTACTTGTATGGGTGACCGTTAGAGTGTCTATGCCCATGCTTACGTTGCATTTTAATGTTTTATAAATCATATTGTACGATAAAACTACAGTATATGAAGAGTAACATAATTCCTTTTGAGCACTTCAAACGTCGGATAGAGCTTGTGCAGCGGTGCGGTTCAATGAATAAGAGTGCTCGCAAATCCTGTATGTAAACCCTCAAAATATACAAAGTTACAGTATGTTGACGTCGGTAGAGAACTTATCCACCATCAGAAATGCACTCATTGAAACAGACATAAAACAGAGCAACTAAAACGCATCCTACCCGCGTCAATCGACAAGGATAACGACATGCTAAACAGCCTCACGTCTACAGAGGTGGTCGGAGTCGATCAGGAATAGCCATACCTGACTCATTGAACATTATATATCGATATGAACGACGTCTCTGACTTTGAAAATGCTGCACCAGACACCAAGACGATATGAAGAAAGAAACAATAAAATAACCAATTCTATTTTCGCCACACTTGCATGAGTGACCAGCTCGGATTACCGAGTTTTACTGCCGCAGGTTTCTCTGATATTTTATAAATCACAAAGTTGTAGTAGTTGAGCGTCTTCTAAATTCGTATTCAAGGACTACTGCGAATGATCTGAAATTCAGAAGACTCTCAAATACAAAGTGACAATTATGATAGACCCCGATCTATTTTTTTACAACGCCTATAATATTCAATACAAAAGATGCTGAGCAGATTCTCAATTTATTCCAAGTTGATGGGTCAAGTTGGTGAATTTGGTATTTCAGACTTAAATCCATATCTTTAACAGTAAGAAAAACAAATCGGCTCTCCTGAAGTATGCGTACCAAGATGGCGGACACCGGACGTAGTATGTGTACCAGGTTAGTGTTAGGCCATAATATTGGGTACAAATAGTACGGGTTTTACTTGGCTAGTCCCCGAAATCGTAATGGAACTAAATAAAGAAAATTGGAATAAAATTATGGCATGAGCCTACTCTGGTACACATACTATGTGTCCGTCATCTTGGTACGCATACCGACAAATCAGCATACCAAAACAACTTAAAAAATAAACATTTTATCACTTGGAAAATTATATTAGCAAAACGAAACAACTAGCAAATAAACTCCATGAAAATCTCAATCACATATTTTTTAATCAGAATAATTTTAACTATAATAAATGTTTGCTGAATTGTGAAGTTGAGAATCGAAAAAATTGAGAAACCTTTGTAAGTTTGAATGATGTGAAATGCAAGTTTTCGTAATTTAAAATCAAACGCAAATTAATTTAAACAAAATATATTTTATTGCAACTAAATTTATAATTATTGCTGTGGTTTTTCATTGTGAGGAAAATCTATTGTGTAAATTTCAAATCAATAATCAATGATTCATATTTTACTGATGATAGATCCATGGAAAAAAAATTCAACCAAGCCGACGTTTCATTAGATTAGAATCTGACAAATAACTCCGTGGCGTTCCCAGCTGGGCAAAGCATTCACCATCCCCTGATATTGATCATTCGGCACAGAATTGACAACAAGAAAAACATTTGAACGATGTTTATGTTCTATTCCAGTGAATGGATAACTTGGAAACCATTTGACGAAAGGATACGCTGGTGTGACGCTACGAGTCTAAGAAGGAGACATAATATTTTTTCACAATTCAGTAACGAAAAATACAACTGCTTTATTAGCAAAATGGTATTGCTTAGAGCAAAATCACGATAATTCACTAAAAACGGAAGAGAAGCTTTTGAAATGTCATAATCTACTGAATGAATCACTATAAAAGCACTACAGAAAATTCTGCTTTAATAGATTTACGCGAAACTTGATTTGGCAGTTTGATTTAATACGATCAGGAAAACAGATATGACGCAGTGAATTGCACATAACTGATGTTTTTGGACAAATTTGCCTCCAGAATAACCCAAATTTGAATAATGTCGTCTAGCAGTAATACATACCACTTAAAAAATATAACAACATTCGGTGCTCCTGTATGCGCACCAAGATGTCGCATAACCTGATTTCAGGTTGTGCGCCATCTTGGTGCGCATACTTCAAGAGGTCCCAACAATTCTTTTATTATTGCCTACCACTTTTGAAACTTGATACAAAAAGAGACTTGCATTTTTAACCTTTGAGCTACATCGGTAGTGTGGGGTTTTTTCTTGCTGTTACTCAAAATATATGGTTGAGTGTACTAAATGGCCGTGTCTGATTTTACACTTACCAGCCTGGTAAAAATTTCCCACATGAGTGTAATAAGAATAAATAAAAGATACTAACCATTGGATTGAAGTCCATTCTAGTCCAAATACCAATTGACGGCTCTCCCTTTGGAATATTCCCTCTGAGATAATTCACAATTACATTATACATTTTTTTACTTCGAATGGAACCAACATATGCGTTACGTTTTTTACAAATCTCATCAGCTTTGTTGTAGTCGACATTTGCTCGTTTGTTTACCACAGCAAAATAACAGATATTTCTGATCTTCATTTTGCAGTTTTCTGAACGGTAACAATAGCGCGTTTCAATTTAAAATCAAATCAAGTAATAATAATCCTAGATAAATCGTTTCTTTAAACAAGAAGGTACCTTAATTCAAGGTAGCAATTCAATAGTCTCAAATTAATGCGTAGCGTTTGGACATACAATTCCAAATTCCTATGTTTTTATAGTTTCAAATATGCAGAAAATATCATGTAAGCTTCACGAGTTGCTAACATTCTTAGATCCATCAACTACTAAAATGTGTGAAGAATTGAATACATGATATTTTACCTGGAGAAGGCGTCGGTTTTAATGTTGTTTGGGTCTTTGGTGTTTGTTTCCATGTTCGAGTAGTTGTTTTTGGATTTAACGTTGTTCGAATTATTGGTGTTGGTCTCGTTATCTGTTTGGATCTATTTTGTACCTGAGGCTTCACCATTACAACGAGATTTTTTTCAATCAAGGCTATCGCTAAATGTCAATATTAATGTTAAACATCATCAATCCTACCTATCACTTAATAAATCAACAAATCATGGCCATGCATTTAAATCTTTACTTCTATTTTTTATGTGTAGTGTTAGAAATACAATTTTTACGATACAATTTTTTCTGATTTCCTTGTTGTCCATTCACTTTACCATTAAATATTGCATGAATGAACTGTTGAAAAAAAAATCCATTCCCGGAATAGAAAAGTTTTCCATGCTCTATAAAATGCTTCAAACAAAATATATTTCAAAAAACTACAAAAGAAATGAGAATAATATCCGATAGATTTTACCTGTTTTCATTTTTTCGTTGTCTTCAATCAACTTAATATTTACGTCCTGAACTTTAGCTAAATCTGAATAAAAATGACAAGAATAAAATATTAAATGAAGTTGTTTAAGTTTTTACAAGAAGTGTACATGGCGTGATAGGTTTTTGGTGGGTTTTTTATTAGGTAAATTTTTTTTTAAAGTAATGTAAGAATTGATTTCAAACTCCATTAATTTGCTTCTTTCATAGAAACTTTTTTTTATTTATTCACAGTACCTTTAGACCTTATTTTAATCAAAATTCCACCCTGATATTGGGTCACCACGTAGCATTACAACGTGATTTGCTACAGCGGTGGGACTTGGTTCAAAATTCTGATTCAGAAGTTTTAAAATGATCAGATGACTCAGGAC